CTGCACAAAGGAACAAAATAATTTACCATTGAATCTGGATGACAATAGACATGTTTTATCCGGGTTTTGCAACCTAGAAAGGGATTAGAACAAATCCACAAGATGCCATAGAGATTGAGGAAGCCTTAACTTTATGGATTCCATCATTCTTATGGCTTAGACATAGGCATTAAGAGGACTTTCTATCCCTATTGACAAAAATCACATTGGGGAAAGTCTAAGAAAATCACAAATCACAACATAATCTTAATTACAAGGGCGTTAGCCTTACATACCATGAAGAATAGTAAAAATTTATCTGTCACTATTTTTTGTTTTTTTTCAAACAGGTTATCATTTGTTTTTGCTTTCAAGTAGGCTTTTAGGAAACCAACTCCCATCTGCGATCACATTAAAGTAAGTTTAGAAGTTTAGTAAACTAGAAATTTTCCCTCCAGAATAACTCATAATACTTTCCTTGTGGGATCAATATACGTTACTCTTTAACTGTATTATTACTTGACAATTATACTTGCATTGTGTGGCCTAATTACTTCATTGTATGTTTGGCACGTCAACAAGAGAGCTCGATAAATTCTCTTCAATTTTTTTCATCATAACCATCTTCTTCTTCATAGCTGACAAGAACTCTGATTGTCTGAGTGTCTTTGCTTTGGTTGCTTGCACCCTTTTTTAGGTTGCCTATGCCCTTCCCTTGGTTGTGAAAAGTTTTTTCCTCAGTTCCAATCATTCTTCACATTCTCAGAGAGAGACTATTGAGTAGAAATGAGAAGCCTCCCAGGCCATTAATTGAAACCTATTGGTCATTCGATACAAACCCGAAAGACTGTGCTCCATATGGACCCTCTCATAGAAGCAAGAATATATGACATTGATGAGAATTGAAGGGTAAAGTACTACAACTGGGGAGTCAGAATGCCAATTTTTATTAATGTAGATTAAGAGAATTGACCATTTGAACTAGTGCTTACCTTTAACCTCTCATCTTGTAGTGGAACCCACTTAAGCTTGGATCCCTTACACTTCTTTTGAGATGAGGGAGGGAAAAAATCACTCAGATAGGTTGAGGGTGTCTTCCCCTTATGACACACCTCCTCTCAGCTACGGGGGCTCAAACTTGGACTCAGGTTCACTCGGGTTGACTGGAGGAAGACGACTCGCTTCATCTATGGCAGAAAGATTGATAGAGGAAGGAGCGGGTGACTAGCAGTGGTACATTTTTCTTCTTGTTGATCCACTGAAGCCTCTCCTTCGCATTGACTTGACTATGTCAAATTTGCCATCTTATCAATCTTTTGGTGTCGTGTATCTGAGGGCCCTACAATAGACAAAGAGCTCATAGTGGGCTTCATAGTAGTTTTCTCTCAATAAAGATTAACCCGCCGTTAGAATTCCTTTGAAAAATAATAGAAAAATCAAAGTTCAAATAAAAAATTTTCTCACTTTTCAAATCTTCCCCGGCACAAACCACCAAAAGTTTTTGTTAGCTCATCACTCCAGCAGGTTCGGGGCTGATACGTTAGACAAGATTGACCTCATAAGCCTTCTTATTTATTGCTCAGGTGAAAACCTTTCTCTCGTTCGACTTCTTAAGCCTCAAAGGTTGCTCAATCCTTCTTTGTCATCCATAAAAAAACTTCTAGTTGTAACATCTAGTTGGTTGTTGCCATATCAAGGTATTGATAGAACAAATGTTGGTGACTTTCCTTGTTTCCACCAATACCCAATTCAACACATTTATCTTAACTGGGGAGCCTCTAGATGGAATAGTCTAAATGTACCACCTTGGGGAGAAGAACCCAAGCAGAAGCCAAGTTCCTAGTCTTTCACTTTATTTTACAGTTCCAACAATTGAGATTTGCTAACAGAGGTAAACTGGACAAAGCCATCCAGTTCAACCTGGAATCAAACAAATAAGTAAAGCACTCTATCGGCCAAGGGATTCATGACCTATGAAAAAAAGTAATGAAGATCATGATTGTAACGAGGTCGTTGCCAAACAGAGTAGTCTCTCAATGGTTCTTATATATATATAGGAAAATAAAAAAATCACCACACAGAAGTATAAACAAAATTCTTTAGTAAAATTGAAAATGTGTTCACATAAAGCTCACATCAACACAAGAAACGAGAAGGAAAAATAAATTTTATTACAAAAATAGACATAAATTTCAAATATATATATATAGGAAAATAAAAAAATCGCCACACAGAAGTATAAACAAAATTCTTTAGTGAAATTGAAAATGTGTTGACATAAAGCTCACATCAACACAAGAAACGAGAAGGAAAAATAAATTTTATTACAAAAATAGACATAAATTTCAAAAAGTGCTTAGAAACTAGTTTGGGAGGAAATATTTTACAGGGGTTTTGTCAGCAACTTTAACCAATACATACCCCTGTCAAAGCAATCTCTTATACAAAACTTCTCCACCAAACTTAAACTGCTTCACCTGATCTGTCCAATTTAAGCCTAGAATTCAAAGGATCTCTCTTGAACTTTCGACAGTTCTTAGCGAAGAGTGTTCATCTCCTCCTCCATCCTCTCCACTTTCTCCAAAAGAGCAAGCATCTCACATGTCTTCTCTGCGGAATAAATCTAGATCGATCGAGTGAAGTCATTCTCAATCATGTTCAGGCGATGAGCTAATGACCTAGGGATATCTGACACCCATCAATTTCTTCTCCGCAAGTTTGAAAAGATTGACTACACAGTGAATTCCACCATTCTTGCTTGATAGAAAATCACCCTTGATTGGCACCTTGACAACTACCGATGGTGCCACGATTGGGTTTCCATCAACATTTGCTAGAGGCGAGTCATTGCCCAGGACTATTGGGGACAGGGTCATTTGTACCAAGATACAACAAAAGAAAAGCGAGGACAAAAAAAATCAAAATCTAACAAGAAAGATCCAGCTCATACCAAGGATTCAATCCAACTTGAATGATGTGACTGACATGATGCTCTCACCAGGAGACGACAAAGCACCAACAGTTTCTTGCACCTCAAGCTGTGGCATAACACTTACACCTTCTTGCGACCAAGGCAGTCACAGAAATCTAGTGGCTTCTTGCCACTTCTTACGTGGCCCCTTCGGTCGATATGTATTATGCTGCGATATCAAGTTGAGCCGATAGATCAATGGTTGAGTCGATCTCCTGAGTGTTCATGTGGTGAGGGTTGAGGAAGTCATCAGACAACATTACCTGGTCCACAAATCACTTTTCTCTTCTTAATGATGGGTTTCTTCTTCCTATTACCGTCCATGCGTTACCACTTCTTTGATCTCCATAAGGTATCACCAAGAGAATTTTTATTGGAGATCCCACGTTGCAGATTCGACACATTCTCCAATTCAAAGCTTAGAAACTGATAGATTCAAACTAGAAGGGATGCATAACAAATATAAAAAGTTAAGAGTTTTGTCATGCATTATTTATAAGGATCAAATGCACGAAAATTATGAGAGTTCAATTATCAATTATTGAAGCATTGATTAATGCTAAATGCAATCTACCTTTTACATTTAATTCTTTTATTCTAATTACATCGTCACTTTCAAGAAGAAAGAAAATTAGAGAACTAAAACATGTAAATCCAAAATGTGTCAACCGCTGATTATTAGGATATCTGACGGCTCAAAGGATCAGAGCACGATGAGGGAAGGCCCATCAAAAGAAGAATGTAAGACCCACTTATCCAACTAGGGTTAGTTTGAGGCACCTGCATCTATTTGAAGAAGTAACTATGAACCTGTTGAAGATGAATGTATTGTTCAAAAAGCCGCGGTGACTATTACAAAAATATATTTCTTTCTGAAAATGTCAAACCACAGTTTTTTTGCAGCCGCTGTAAGAAGCCAAATCTGGTGAGAAAACACAATTTTCAACTGCAGCTTTTTGAGAATGCTGACAAAACACATTTTTGTCAAATAGGAAAAACTGTGGTGCGACACCACACCGTCGCCCCAAACGCACCATAAGTGCAATCTTCCAAGCCAAAGTCAGTAAGGCCATAGCTGACCAAGCCATGAGGACGACTAAAAGATAACCAAATGATCCGAGTTCGGACTGCTCGATCAGAATTGAAAAAAATAGGCATCCGGACCAACCACTACGAAGATGCTGACCCAAAGGATAACTCAGTCTCTCAACATCTCCAATAATATCAATGACATTCATGAGTCCCCCCATATATTATCAAGATTCTACAACTAGAATAGATCAGTAGACCAAAATGCCAACCAAGCATAGCCGAATGGACCAGTCCTGCTGACCCAAGCCAATCAAGCTCAACCGGCCGAGCCATAGAACAACTAAGTGATAGACTCATATATGTAAAATATCAAGAATATTATGTAGAACCTCTTTTAAAGCATGAGAAAAATATAACATTATCATATTGTACTTTCTTCTATTTAAATAAATAGATCATTTTATGAATAAACAGAGTGAGCTTATTATTCATTATAATTTACTCATCTCTCCATATTTCTCTACTTACTTTTTTTTCTATTATTTCGGTTTGGTTCATAAACAAATCAGAATTCAAATATACTAAGAATTACATACATATCATTCAATTTTTCGTATTTATATATCTAATATTTGAATTATCTATCTATATAAATATAAATATAAATATAAATATAAATATAAATATAAATATAAATATAAATATAAATATAAATATAAATATAAATATAAATATAAATATAAATATAAATATAAATATAAATATAAATATAAATATAAATATATATATATATA